CGCAGATGTCAACGTCGCGTTACATCACATGGTTTGATCAAAACGCCCTCCCAATCCGAGAGCATTTCGATCACCCGCGATTTCGCGGGCACCTCAGCCACAGAATTGCGGTCCATCGACATTTCCGTGATCTTCATCAATTCACGCTCAACACCACTCTCTTTGCAGCGAGCGCTGTTGGTACGTGTTTTGGCCATGACTCTGTTGGTGATGTTGAACTGTGACAGTGATCACATCATCACTCTCATCTGCCTTTCGGTCACCTCCACCATGCGCCCACCCTCATTCCGTCAAGTTGTCGTTCCTAGGAGCTTCTCCTAGTGGCGATTCTTCTTGCCTTGCATAACTCGAGTTCCTAGGAGCTTCTCCTAGTGACTTGGGACTGCTGTTCAAGGACTTTCTCTTTCAAAGTAATGGACATTTTCTTTTGGTGTCTACAACTAACAATCTTTAAACAGCTTTCACAACTCAGTACTCTTCGAACCTACGACGCTCAGTTCGCCTCTTGGTCTCCTCCTGCATGTACCTCAGCTTCACCTCATATGCTTCCTTCTCCTCTCGGGCAGCCTCGATCCTCATCTTGCAAGCCTCGACAACCTGAGCAAGAGTCTTACGAGTCTCGTCTTCAACAAAAGCCGCAATCTCCTTGCGCTTCTCCTCCGATTCCATGCGCTTGTTCTCAACAATCGCAGCAGTCTCCCTCTTCTGCATGTCGAGCACCTTCTGCTCCTTGATTATATCCCAGTACCGCTCGACTTCGGTCACTTTGGCTCGCATGAGATGGTAGTGAGCAAACGTGAGTTGGTTCACGTCCTTGGTAAGCAGATCCGCATACTCTGGCTCGTCGACCACCATGGTGACATCTTCATCCTCAACAGGAGCTTGTTTTTTCCCCCTGCTTTTCTTGGAGGCTACAAGGAGGGATGTCAGATCAAAAACAACGGTACGTTTAATACATACGGTGGTCTTTCTCCATCGTAATATCCTCATCTTTATCTTTGCTCCTAATCTTCTTGGTAGCTTTAAGGAGAGCCGTCAGATCAAAACTGGAACAGAGAGGAACACACACGTACGAGGCGCATCGTCGTTGCCTTTCTTGGTGCTGCCTATATGCGGTCGATCAATGCCCGATCAAAGAAAGTCGAAACCCTCAAATATTCACCTGAAGGGCGGCCACGCTTCGCATGGTTAACTACAGCGGGGGAAGACTCGGAAGAAGACATATTAGATAGAGAGAAGAAAGAGAAGGGGGGGGGGTAGGGAGGAGAGGGGATTTTTAAAGGCAGGGAACGGTCACATGTCACAAGGAAAGAGGATAAATACCGCGTCGTGTCTCCTTCCCAAATACCCCATCCATGCCTCCTGTCCCACAACTCATTCAACGGCTGGATGATGCCACCGCAGTCATCCCCTCCAACTTTGAAGCATCTCTTGGCCCCGAGGTTCTGGCAAAGATCGGACCCCATACCGCTCAGTTCAAGCGCATCTCCGCAAATATCAATCAGTCTGCTCGCGCTTTCAATGCAAACGACCAAGAAGCATACAAGAACATGGTTCTCGAAAAAGCAAAGGTGGTCCACAGCAATCGTTCCAAGAAGATCCTGGATCGCGAAACCTACGTTATCAATATGTGGATGACCGTGCTCTCCCAAAACAAGGAAGGCCTCACCGTTGGCCAAATCTGGCACACCGATATGATCAAAGAGCATATATTAACCTTTCTTTACTATGCGGCAAGTGACGATTCATTTATCCAATGCACAACATTAACAAAATTGTCTTTATAGGTCGACGCAATGAAACCTCTGAGGGGCTACGGCGTCTTACGCTCATCGTCTTTGGGGTCGGTGTTGTACACCCTTGTCTCTCTCGTGGCTAGGTATGGTCACGATCCGGTCACGTTCACACCCAGAGGCCATGAGCTGCTCACAAATGGTGGCCTATACCACAACCTTCAAGGACAGTTGTTCAACAGTGAGTAACTTTCGCTCTGATACCAGTGCATATACTTACCCTTCTTTCCAGTTATTCTAACACGAAAGCTCGACAAGACTCGTCGTAACCCCATATTTGCAGGACGCGATCACGGTCACTTGATGATCGTCACCGCTTTGGTCAATTCAACAAAAGAACCACCTCGCCGCCTCTGTGCAATACAGAATATCCTCAGACTCGACATGACATTCTATGCCACCTGCCGCCCATCGACCTTGGGATACACCGAAAAGAGGTTCAGGGATGCTGGAGCTGTAAGCCGGCCTCTCTAGATGCAACCTGCATATCACTGACAACGACACGTTTAGTATATCAAACTGAAGGACCTTACGATCTATAAAAAAGGTTACATGGAGTACGAAATCAAGATCAACCTCCAGTACTTCAAAGGAGCGTTGCGCACCGTCCACAACGACCAACAGGAAATAACGTTCAAGAGCGTCCTGTACACCCACAACATCCTCTTCGATCCTGTTATCACCTTCATTGCCTTTCTTCACCTGAGAGGAGTCTTTTCAAAGCCATACAAGGTCCGTTGTCTCTCTTTTTCTTTGTGGGTGGTTTTTGATTATCCACTAGACGGCAGACGAGTTGTTCGATGACCCGGCCGCTCAACTCCTGATCGACTCGGCAGAACTGGAATCACCATTGTTCCTCAAGACAAAGCCAGGCGGGAAGGGCTTGACAGATTTGGCCGCCTCCGCTGATAGCCACACAACATCAACGGAGAACCTAGCGTTGGCCGCTGGGCTGCCAATCATGGGTCCCACAGCCTTTCGTCGTGACGGTGGTAACAAGTGGAGCCAACAAATGGGCTTGGGTGTCGCCAAGGATTTTCTGAACCACCACGAAGGTCCCAACGTCCTCGGAGTACACTATCACCGCAGAATGAACAACTTTAACCCGGTCGGTATCCGCATCGGAGAAGAGAAAGGAACAAATGAAGCATATGCAGGCGAGATGATCGAGGTATGCTTACTTGTGATCGGACCCAGTTCTCGACGACTGAAAATTTCATTAGAAAGATCGCCAGATGCATCTCTTCAAGGAGAATATTATCGAATACATAGTCAGATACAAGGCATTTCAAACGAAGGAGGCGAAAACTCAACGCCAACTAGCACATCGCAAAGAAATCCTGGTACGTCTTCTTGTTCCTTTTCAGTGGCGCCTCTCTCTGACCACGTCTGTTAGACTGATCCCAAAGCGCTCAAACTCAGAACAGAGATATCTTGTGCCAGGGCCGAATTTCTCACCTGCTTTTACCCCATGGAACACAAAATGAGCGACAACTGCGCCGGCGTAACAACTATAGTCAACGCGGCACTGGGGACAAACACTCGCAAGGGTGTCGTTTTTCGGGACCAAGCTAAAGCCCTTGAGGTATGTTACCACACGTCCAAGTCGAACAATTCATTTAATCCCCGTTCTAGATGCAGCAGAAGTTGTACGGTCTCTACAAAGAACAATCCAAGCTCAACAGGGCCCTCAACCACGCTTTGACTCGCAAGGACCAACAAACCCGGACCGACGAGTATCGTAAGAATGAGATCTCAGGAACAGCTGAAGAACGTCAAGAGGCTGTAGAAAGCCTTGACCGCGTCCAAAAGGATGACGTGAGGGATATCTTGACGCTTCCCATTTTAGAGAAACCCCTTCGTGCGACTGCTGACTGTCCGGGTCAGTGTTTTCATCTCGTATCTTTTAATCTCTGCTCAAATATTTTCCCTTGCAGTGGTTGAAATCAATGAAGAGGAACTCGATCGGTATGACGACGACAACGGGTCATCTTGTCAACTCGACAACGACGTACTCTCATGGGCTGATGGCCTCAACCGCACGATACAGGTGGAAGAGCGCATTATCGAAGACGAAATAGCAGTTCCAAAAAGCCTCAACCTCATCGTAAACCAGTATGGCCCACTGTTCGACGCGAACGAGCCCCAGGAACTTGCGGATGCACCCGATGTAGATGAAGCAGTTGAGGTCGACGTTTTTGCGATGGATATCAAGCACGTTCGTCGAAGGTTCTTCGACTACCTCACGGCACCTGCTAGAAAAGAAAAGCAGGTTGTTGTAAGAACCTCTATCTTTACCCAGCAACCCGTATGCTAATTCATTAAAAGGTCATCGATGACAATATTGTCGACGACGTTATCAAGGACGCTGTCGAGACTTACCCGTGTACCGTCTGCATTGAACGCGGGTTCAACAAAGTTTTCTCTTGCCGTTCTCACTTGGTTAGACACAAGTAAGTGTTATCGAGGTTCGACGTTGAGGACAGCGCTCACACACCCTTTTCAGTCTTCAAATTCACTCCAAGTGGAAAGAACTCGAATGGAATGGCATACGTCGGCCGGGCGAAAAAAGGTTCCATTGCCCCTCGGAGCAGTGCTCAGCCTCTTATGTCGCATTAAGCAAAGTGTTTACTCATATGCTGAACAAATGCCGGGACTCTGAAAAGTGGATCGCGTTGAAGGCAGCTCATCAATTAGGTGCTAAGCAGTACAAGGGAGCGAAGTACGTGGATCGTACGGATGTGACTTTCATCCCTGGTAATCACGAGGTATGTTATTACCCTTTATAAGAAATATTTGTCTAACGAAATGCATAGGATCTAATTGGGCTCGCAGAAATGGCCCACTGGTATCAAGACGACCATATCTCCAACGCGATCAAAGAAGATTACGCAGAGCTCGCAGTCGATGCTCTCCGACCGACAGAACCCGAGGACGCGTCGTTGGACGCCCTCGACTGGTACCTATCAAGTCATCTCAATCGGTTGACCACGGCTGCTCGTCCTTCAACGGTGGTTGCAAAAGCTGGCGAGCCATTCGAGCTAGATGGTTTGGACTTTAAAACATTCTACTCAAAGATGTCTACTAAACCGTATACTGCTATTCGCCCACCCCTTTGGTAGTCTGTAGATAGTAATAAACTGATCGATACGCTCTCGCAATCCAAGGGCCATTCGATCACTTGCACTATGAAAGAAAAAGACATCCGGGCCTCACCGGGAGTTGAACCCGGGGCCTCCTGCAATCAGTTACCCAAAGCAGGAATCATGCGACTAGACCATGAGGCCGGTGGACATTGCAGATCTATTTTACATCTAGTTAGTTTTTCATCTCCCATTACAGATTTGGTTCCTCCAATCGTGTGGCTGTGCACCCAAAGGAGGAATCATGCGACTAGACCATAAGGCCGCATTGACAGACGGCAAAAGCAGCACTATTGGTGGTAGTTCTACTGTTTCGAGTGTGACAGCTCAAACTAACCTAACTTTGAAGTCACTAATGTTTATCAACATATGTTGAAGACGTAACAAACCTATCGCAATGAGGGATTGACTCAACAAAGCGGATGCAACGCGAAGACTTTGATTATGGGCCTCGGACTAGCCACTGATCTCGGCGCTCTGAGTCCTTTGAACGATTAGGTAGCTCATAAACACTGTCAATAGGGTATGGCATATAAATGAGTCTATTCCCACAGCCAGGTTAACGGATGTAGCAAGTTATATATTTGTGCCCTGTGTTAGTTTGTACATCAAATGCTTAGTACCTTGCAGATATATTCCTTGATGCTATGGGAAAATTGTCTGCGTGCTGCGAAAGATCAGTTACAGATATCATGCTAAATTACCAGAATTTTTGAGCCGCTGAAGCCCAACTGAAACTACGAAGTCCAAATCACTGTACTGGATAAAAGGCCGGCTTTTCCCGCAACTCCCGCAATCAATCGTCCTGTGGACAACGCTTCAGCTTCACCCACGATGGTTCCCAGGTTTAAGCTTCCAATTCGTATAGATGTTCTGGTCAATCTTTTCTAAGGCTTTCAGAAGTAATTATTTCGTCGTAGGTCTATCCTGTGTACCGAAAATCAACCTTCGCAGAACTAGTCGTCCGAGGTCGTGCGACTGGGCACAGGTATGTAAATCTCCGCAGGACGCTTCGGAGGTTCAAAATTTCTGTCCTAAAGTCATTTTTATGATGATGGAAGACCAAGAATCTATGTCTCGCATTTATGCCCTGGACAAAATGAATATGCATACCTTGAAGCATACCGCAACGTCTCCGGCCGGTTTTTCTCATTGAATCAAAAATGCACGAAGTTGCCTCCCTCCGAGTCCGTTACTATCAGCTCGTGGCCTCATCGAAACTGAGCAAGATTCCGAAGCTCAGGCTGCTGGTTTACACACGCAAAAGCCAGGCCAATATATCTCATTTCTTCAGCCTTGGGGTCGCCTTCTACTCATTTTTATCGAAAATGTGGAAACTGTCAATATCTCAAATAAGAGCTCTATCCAGCTCTGGGACTTAGGAGAGACCAACAGTTCTACCGGTCTGGGGCACTGTTAAACCAACTCGCCGCTAACGGTGAAATCTTGGATTTTAACGTCTTGGGAAATAAAATTGTCTGGGTGAGCAGGAGCGGGAGGATAGTTGTTTGAGATTTCCAACAAGCGCCTCGCAGCGAGCCGGGGTATTGATTCCGTGTTTGTGGAAGAATTTAAAGATGTAATGCTCGTAGTTGGCTTATTATTTACTTTGGTCAAGTTCTTGACGGAAACACTGCTCATCATAGCTTCATCACTTTGAGGATGATATTTATCTTGTGAAAAAAGGCTGTACGCTCCAGTGGCCATGGCGTATCCCAAAACTACAAGACCAGGACCTTTTTGAGATTTCGGGCGTATGGCACCCGATCAATACTGGACCACATCTATTCTACTCACTCAGCGCTTTGTCACTGCCTCAAATTGAGAAACACATCGCAGTGGGTATGGCTCAAGCTTCATTCACAGGACGACGGCCGTATTTTCACTTGGCACTGGTCGATCAGGACTCAACCATGGGTTTTTACCGTCTTCTTCCCATTTCACAATGCACAGAAAACACTAGCTGCGCTCCATCTTCTTTACTCGTCCATCGCGGCAGTCACGGATCCCACATTTGGCCATATGACAAATACCAATTATCAGATATTCGAAAATGCGACCAAGGCTTTGTTTTTGGCTTTGATGACCCGAACGACTCGCCGTCTCTTGTTGATATACTTGACGACGAACGATCTGGTTCTATTTCAGTGGTAGAGCGGAGACTTAACTTGGGTTTTACAGCACAATACGAGTTTCATGGGATTTGTTCTGCGACCGGCAGAATGGTCGTTGTAGTAGATCGCGCTGTGTATGTCGTCGATTATCTCAGCTTGCCAACTAACTACGTCGCTTAGCAAGTTGTCAGCTAGGAGATTATCATGTAACTTAATCATAACCATCTCACCAGTGCAGCCTCTTTTGAATGCACAACAAGTTCGTGAGATAAGATAACTTGCGATTTGTCAAACGAGGAATGAAATAGGGGCATGTATAATGAGGTAATAGGATACATTTTAAGCTTTTGCACCACCCCCCTTTTCACCCTCAGCAGCTGTCACAGCTGGATTCACTTTCTTACCAGCGTTCCACCTAATACGAGGAGGAGGAGCACGGTTTCTGCGACCTTCTCGCGATCGGACACGAACGACTGATCACATCCAATTAGATCAAGATATATCCTGAAAGCCGGAGATCTCTCACCATGAGAATGGATAGCGCATGATACACAGTAGGCAATTTTGATGTATAGTTTTGGGATGACATACTCTGTCATCGGGAGTAATGTTAGAGTAGCTCGCAGAATATCGAAACTAGAGACGCACCGGGATAGACACTGGCATCGCTGATATCACGAACCGCAGCACTCTCGACCATGTTCCTCACTGTAAAGCGCTTGATGGCCTTGTCCTTTCCAACACAGCGCGAGCAGTTAGAGCAGCGCATGAATTTGACGTGGCCACGTCCTTTCTTGTTACGGCCTCCATTTCTTCTTTTCTTGGTCTGAATGAGAGTGGTGGTCAGCCCTGAAGATCAAACGCATTCCCCAGTCAAACCGAAGAATCCATCGACATCCAAACTGGATCTTTCGCATCCAGCGTAATTTCGTTTTCATCCGGTCAAAAGACCAATTGAAGCTCTCCCAAGCGTCCAAAAGTGTGTTTCAGCATGAAAAAAGGCTCACCATCTTAAATGTCGGCTTCGAGAGGCGATGTTGAAGACGACGATGACCCCCCAGTCACAGCCTGTCCTGCAATGACTCGGCACTCTCCGAAAGCCCCCACCGGCCGGCAAAAACGGACAATGAGGGAAGCCGTCCCGGCGTCACTGATTTACGATCAATATTAGTTGTTTGGACCTATTTATGGAACAATCTTACCCTCGTCAGGAACAATGTCCATTGGCTTGGACATTGTTTTCCGACATCAGTGTTGCACCGCTGACGACCCCTTTTGTTATGCAGTATAAAAGGCCAAGGCATTCAATGATTGGCCCAAGCCCGGCCTTTCTGCCTTTTCACCTTTCCGCTTTTACTTCCTTCTTCCTTTTCTCTTCCCTCCAAGGCTTGCCTTTTCTTGAGCCAGGTGCTCCCTGTACAGCGTAACTTGAACGACCTCAACAGTTCAGCACTCTTTCACGAACCCACGAGCCCCTTAAACTCTTTTTTGAAACGCCCCAGTTCAATCAACTTTTTCAACCATGCATTTCTCAATCTCTTTTGTTATTGCTGTCATTGCCGCATCGTTTGTGCGAACTGCACCAGCGGCTATCGATGCAGCTACCCTCAAATCCAATGCCCAAGAGGCCCAGAAACTGAACGCTGGCTTTTCAACGCTGAAATCTACTGATCCATGCCAAGGTTAATTCACTATTACTCGGCTCTTACCGTTACACCCATAACCTGATCCTTTATTCAGGCGAAGCTGTAGCTTGTATTGACGGAGCTCCCGTGAAGTGTTCCGCTGGAAAGTTTGTCTCCGACGGGGATTGTGCGGCCAACAACAAATGCTTCGCCGTCCCCAGCGTCCGAGCCACTGGTGTTGTGAGTTGAATTTTTGATTTATCTTGTAGCAAATTTTGACGAGTCATGATCATCCAGGCTTTGGTTTGCTCAAGTCAAGTGAATGTCGAGTCGACTATGAAAGCCTGTGGTGTTACCGGTGGTGTCGATGGCCTCAGTTCCTCCGACTCGTCGACCACCACTTCCTCCGCTGCAACAGGTGCAGGTGCAGGTACTGCTACCGCCTCCTCAGTCTCATCTGCAGCAAATACATCTACAACTACATCCACATCAGCATCAGTCAGCGGAACTGCATCATCTAGCAGTGCTACAGGCGGCGCAGAGCGCGTTACAGTTACGGTTACTGTCGTATCAGCATCTACCACAACTCTTTCACCAGGCGAAGCATCAAGCGTCCTTTCGAGCGCTGCTGCATCCCAAACTTCTCCAGCAACAGACGCAACCGCAACCGCCTCTTCGTTCGGTGCATCATCTGCCTCTGGATCTTCCATCAAGACATTGACTCCAGTTGCACCGGCCAGCTCTGGTAGCGCAGTTCCTGACATCATTGTCTTGAACAGCGGAACAGCATCGGTCCCTACTTCATCAGTTGCTCCTGGTCCTGCCACAACTTCTGCTGCTTCGTCATCACCAGCCGCAGCAGCAGGAGCAGCCACAGGAACTGTCATCAAACTCACTGCCGCTGACCCCGCCGCCACCCCAGCTGCTGCTTCCAGGTCGGCCTCAAGTGCAAAAGCTTCCGTAACGGCTGCCTCTGCGCCTGATGCCGTTTCGGGCGGTGGTGTGTATGGCTACTAGATACATTTCAGTTGGCTTCATCTTCTTCATAGACTGCTTGATGCGAGCATCAGCGTTAATTTCTCATGTTCTGAGCTAGATCTCTCTTGTGGCTAGATCCACACATTTGTATCGATAGTTACTGTACATCGTATTGTACAGTAGAAATGTAAATCAATTGCATAGGATTGGAGTTTCGCCATGCTTGGACATGAATGTTGCGTACTACTACTAATGCCAGCGATTACGGATTACCACACTTTCTTTGTCTAGAGCTAGGCCACATGGTGTAATGCGTCCAGTTGAATCAACTGATGATGTACGGAACTACGTCTTCCAAGCTTCCGGTATGATGCAAAATGTGCTGCAAAGATGTGCAATGTAGTATGTACACCGCCCATATGATTTC